AATTTAAGGAATAAAAGAATGAAAAAAATGTCCCTACTAGACATATTTACAGGGGTTAGTGGATCAATGGCTAGCCCATAGCAGCTAGCAGAATGACTGGAAGTGGATGGAGCACCAAGTGGTGAAAAATATACTCTCAACCACAGCTGAGTGAACCAAAGGGGACCACTGCTAGTAGGAGATGCACCATTCTTCTGTTGAAATTGAAGGGAAGACATGCCTCTATAAAGGACAGCTAGAAAGACAGAACATAAGTTCAAAGGCCTACCACGCGCCAATTTATGCGCTATAGGTAAGTAGCTCATAGAATGTTTCATACTTGGCACACAAAGAATATATTTATAAAGTCAAATCTGAAGAAAGGCCACACGCTCAGCATGGGAAAGTTCGGCGCTTGAGTGATTATAAAAGTTTTGCAGGCTTGAATAGGACTCAGTAAGTTTCTTGTCAAATTTCGGGGCAACACTGGAAATCAAAATGCCAGGAAAGATGGTATCGCTCAAAGGCGGAAGATTTACTAGGGCTCCAACGTCCCTTAGAGTAATAGACATGGGACCAAGAGGAAAAATAAAGGTGTTATACTCAGAAGACCAAAAACTCAAAGCAATAAAAAAAAGCACTGGGTCAAAAATTGGGAGTTGAAGAGTAATTTCTAATAAGTCTGAAATCCTAGCACGATCAAAAATCGTCTTAGTGGGGCCATGATTCACAGGAGTGCATGTCATCTACGAAAAATAACATCAGCTTTGGGCCAAGTGTGAATACCTTTTTCGCGAGTCGGCCTCAATGGCAGAGAGTTCAGGAATGGAGGACCTTGAGTGCAAGGGAACAACTGGCCCACCGCCACTTGTCCGACAGTTTCGGCATTATTGAACGATGGACCCAAGTAGAATTCATTGAGGTCAGCACTAACTTGTGTAAAGAAGTTTGGATTTACAAATGGCCTAGTAAGGAGTTTCTGAAAATCTTCGAAACTAAAGGAATCATCAGATTGAGTTTGTGAAGTCGCCATTGGAAACAAAGTTCAGTTTTGATAAGGTTTGCCTGAGAAACGTAGCAGAGAAGCAAGAAGATGAACAGTAAAATAGCGAGGAAGAAGCGCGAAATTAGACGTGGTTGAGTGGTGCAATGAAATGGCGTGTCCTTTTGGTTTATAAGGGTTTGTAACGTTGCACTTTTTCAGACTGTAGAAAGAAATAATGATTGAAATTCTTGGGAATTTCAAATATTGCTGAAAAATATAAAGTGAATATGGCAAAGATTAATAATTAGTATAAATTCTGCCATATTGGGGGGTAATTATTGATACACTAAAAGTGCAGCCCAAATCAAATAACCCAAAGAGTGAAGCTCAATTGGGAATCCAGGATAAAGGTCCAAACATGATTATTGATGAATGCGGTGGAAGCCCACGAACACGATAACATCATCGCCCAAGTTTGCAAGATGCCCAGAATCTGAGCGAATAGCATACCTTACGGTCGCCCAGAGCGATGACCACGTTCTCGCCCAAACCTTCAAATCACCCAGGATTTTAGCAAGCATAAAACATTATAATTATCCAGAATAGCAGTTATTGAGTGGTCTTATCACATTCGACGATTCAAGGAGTCCAGTTGAAGGCGGTTGAACGACAAAGAGTAATGACGACAGTTAGGGACGGCAGTTCCACTACAAGTTAGCCACTATAAAGAAAGTGGGTAGTTGTATAACAATCAAGTAGTTTCCAAGGGGTTGTCACGAAGAAACCATCAAAGGAATATAAAAGGAAGAGAAGACATAGAGAAAAAGGCCGAATTAAACACTCTCAAGCAAAGAATATGTAATTTCGATTTCTTAACTTAAACTTAAACATTTCTTTTAGTACTCGTGTGCTTGCTCCCCTTGGAGGCATTCTGTTTAAGTTCCAATTGTAAATCATCGTCAATAAAACACTCCTTTTTGGGACTTTGTCTCAAGAGGTCTGTTCCTTACACAATCGTTTGATCCCTTTTTTAATTGTTAGCAGTCGCTTTTTGAGACTACCCGCGTGAAACATATTCACATAGAATGATTGATGTAAGAAACCGTTAGAATCTAATAGTTGTGGGATTCAATCGCCCATTCGTGTGGTGTATATTTGAATTGTATCTTCTTTACTGACAGTTTTGTGCATTTGCAGAGTTGCAGTTACACTTCTCACTTCTCACACACTATCATTTAAGATATAAAAAAATTTGCCAGCACACATTCTTTCTGTAAAAATTTTGGCATAAAACTTTTCTTAGGGGCTGAGGATGTGTATATATTTTTCACTTTCGTGTAGATCTTATTCTTGATTTCACTTCGAATCTTCATCTTGATCACATTATTTTTGATATTTAAAATTGTTGACAGCAGCTTACCTGACTTACATCAAGCATATTCACTAGATAAATCTGTATTGTTTCCTTCTTGTGCTGCAATATGGTAGGAGAATGTAATTAACATAAGATCAATGACCATATGCACTTGAAACTGTAGCGGTTTTTGTAGTATGAATTATGTAGTGTAGATTAAGAAACTGAAGTAGGATCAACTAATTTGTAGATTTCTTTCTCTAAACTTGGTAAGAATCACCAGCCATGAGCATGTTTTGCTAAGCCTGAAGAAAGTGGAGGCAAATTGTACAAAAAACATTTCAGTCAGTGCTTTCTATATAAAACTAGAGAATTGGGTAACAGTTAGCCCTGTGTTTCAATGGGGAATTACTTATATTTAGCCCCATTTGGCCTCCATTAAAATTGTAATTTATTTTTTCTTTCTTCTTATCAACTACACATTCTTCAATTAAATAATATTACACGTAATCTCAAAACTTTTTTTTTTTTTCTTTTTTCACCACACATTTTTTCAAGGAAAAAGAATAGCACTATTCAATCATTAGAATTTCAAATAATGGGCGCCAAACGGGGGCTTAGGTTGCTGTGATCTCAATAGGGACACTAAAAAATGGAAATAAAGGAAGACAGTCATTTGATAATTAGTAACACGAGCGTTTTCTTGCGATCCTTCCCTTTCTCCTTGTTCATGCTTTAAAAATGGCAAAAAAATTGACGTACTTCCTTTCTGCAAACTGATTGTGTAAAACCAAGATCTTACACAGTTGCTACTCTTGTTACAGAGCTATTAAGCGTACAAATATATTGGTGGATGTAAGTGGTTCGGTGAGACTTGGAAATTTTGGCCTTGCAAATGGCTCCTGGGGTTTGCCAGATTCATTTAAGTAGCACGTTTTCCATACCCCAACTCCGTAAGTACTGTATGGACATATAAATATCGTCAAGTAGAAATCTCTGTGTCTTCATTCTAGTTAGTAGTTGTTTGAATATTTTCCATTTTAATTTTGGAGCTCGACAGTTGCAGGCACTACTTAAAATAGGAAGGGGCCGGTGAGTTACCACCCATTCCCAATTCACTTTCCAGCGATGCACACGATTTTATCCTACAAGTTGATGAGAATGCACGTCCAACAGCCTCTCAGCTCTTGGATCACCCTTTTGTGAAGCCATCATCTTCAGGCTCGCTACGTCCTCTTTTGATTTTCGAGTTTATTTAATTTTATTCGAGTTTTCTCATCGTCTGGTTCAAAGTTGCTTGGTAAGGAAGCGGAATTGAAAATCAAGAAGCAAGAATAAAATGTCTTTAAAAATCATTAACAATTTGAATGCTTTGTGACTTATAAAGGCTTCTAAAAAATTAATTAAATATATAGTAACTTTCAAAAGTCTCGACTGAATACATCAATATTTTTTGAGAGTCCACGTTAAATACTCCTAAATTTTATGAATTTCAAATAGGCTTTACAAGCATACACCTCCTAAGAGCACGTTTGGTCGTGCTAGCAGTTTAGATCTTCCTACTTAAGACCATAGTGGTTGTGTAACGATAAAGGGAATGGTGATAATTAATGTGAATTCTGAGGCTGTTTTTTATCTATTCGTGGAAGAGTTTCTTGACTCACTTGGGGATTGCATGCAGAAATCCCCAATATTAGCTGTATATTTTTTTTCTTCATCAAAAGCAAGTGTAAAATCGTCATATGGTGTAATTGTATTTGCTTAATTTTTCATTTCTAATTTGATTTTCACAAATTATAAGTCTTGATTGTTGACATCGCGATTGATGTATTATGTTATACCCTTTTCACAAATTACTTTCTCCGATAACACATGACAAATAGAGAAATGGTGACACAAAAAAATGAAATCCCCTAAGCATAAGGCCATCTTCAATTCTGCATCAAAATTTATACTATTTTGCTCCAAACCAAAAATTATCTTTAACCATTACAACAAAATTTACACCAAGTGAACAGTATTTAATCATTTTCTTCTTCTTCTTTTTTTTTATTTTAAATAATTTATTTATTTGAAAATTTATTTATTCATTTTATAAATACATAAATTACTAAATAAATAATAATTATTGTTGTTGTCGTTATTTTATTAATATATATATAACACAAATGAAAATTTATTTACTTTGCACCGTTTTTCACTAAAATGGTGTAAACTTTAGTGCCACGTTGAAGAGCTTCTATTGCATATTTTTTATGAAATTTAGGTCCTGTTTGATATACATTAATGTAAAAATGAAAATGAAAAATATAGTTATTATGAGTTCCATATAAGAGATAGAAATTTAATTTTGATGACTTGATGTGATGAATAACGATCATATTTTTATTTTAATGAAGAAAAATTGAGAAACAAACAAGGGCTTTATGTCTTGGTGCATCGATTGAGATGCCCTAAGAAAAAGAAAAATGGGGGGACCCCGTACCGTAACTCATTTTTGCTCCACGAAACCGCTCCCCTTAGCACAAACGTGAGCCAGTTAAAGAGTGAGAAGTTCCTCTCTTCTCGCTCATCCCTTCAAATTCCTCTAATTTATATAACTAATTATAAAAAAGAAAACCCTTTTCTCTTTTTTCTCTCCATGTAAATTCAAGTCATTTTATTAATTTTCAGGTACCCTCGATGCCGATCTTATTTTTATTCCAAGAATTTTAATTTTATATTCTGTTCGTAACGTGAAGTAAAAGCATGGAATTTAGATCGGTTCGGTTTTTATTCTTGAATACTTTTTTTACTTCTATAGTTATGTTTGGTGGGTTTTTGAGGATGAAAGTTGCAAGTTCTTTTGTTGATTGTTATTGGATTTTAATGATGTGGACAAGCATTCGATTCCTTGTTGGAAGTACTTAGGTTTTTTTGGATTGTGCAGAAAAATCTATTGCTTGAATTATGCTGCATTATGTTCGTATGCACATTATTTGAAAATAAACAGTCTTTCTTGAAGTGATTGGTTGCATAATAGAAATTTGGTAAAATGCCAAGTGCAATTTTTGCTCTGAGTGAAAATTGGAAAAGTGCTAAGTTCAGTTTTGGCTCTTTGAGTGCATGAATACGGGCTGTTGATGATGATTAAGTGTGCTCGATCTTTTGTCGGGTTGCACTTATGAAACTGTGAGCACGTTAGCGTACATATCTGCAGGGCAATGTCTTTTTGCTGGAAAGTTTATATCTGAGAACTTCACTTGTAAAAGAACACACAAAGATATAGAAGAGTTTCTTTTCTTTTCTTCTTTCCTCTATACACCCACTGAGCTTTAAAAGATCAGTGAAATCTTAATTGCATTGAGAATCATGGTATAGAATATTCCTTTAATCTCATCAATTAAATTTTGGAGAGTACATATTTTTAATCATTTACATATGCCATGTAGAGAGAATTGCATTTTGAAATCACAGGATTATGACTGAGGCTCTTTAAATTTTAGATGAAAATAGCTTTATGAGAATGTGTATATGCATATTTAAAAATGAATTGTGCACTGTTATTATGTTGCTGCTTCCTGATTAATTGACGTTTTAAGATATGTCGTTTCCTAGTATCCAAAAGGCTGTAGAATTTCAGGTGACATTTAAGGTACAATAATGTATATGTTACATATAGTACACTGGTGAAGTGACTACTTTTAATTTGAATATGTATTTCCTCAGTTGTCTGTTCTACCGCTGGTGTCATATATTTGTCACAAGAAAGTTTGCTATCTATGATTGGGGTGAAATATTCGGATAGATTTGTAAGTTTTTATGGAACAGAGGGTGATTTGGTAAGCATATTCATATTCTTTTCATTGCCATTCAATAAATCGGACGACCATAATTTTCAAGAAACTAGAGGAGTCAAGGATGGTTGTTTGTCTAATTGTCATATCATGGAGGTGTGGATTTCTAGAATCTATACATTTTGTTCCCTAATTCAGTTGTTCTGATATTATTTCTTCTCCTAATCCCATCTTGTGTTTGGAGTTGATAGGTTAAGTTACTTTCAAGGTTTGTACTGTTAAATTATCGATAGGTTTATCATTAATTTTCATGCAGCACTCCAAACTCAAAAGAAAATTTAAGATACTATATTTTCAATAAGAGAAATAAAAGGGCTGCTATTTCATTAATTTCATATTGGGTTTTGCTATTTCTTATGTTGAGAAAGGCCTTGAAGTAATAAACAAAAGCCTACTTTGTTAACATTTGATCACGAATTAATTATAGCAACTTTTAATCTATTTATAATCAATTTCACTCAATATGGACACAGTACCACTTTCATGGTTTTTTTAGTTAATGTTGTATTGATACAAATATATGGAAGACTTGATGCTTTCTACAAAAATATTGGTTTTAGAGCACTTATTTGATTGTTTATTAACATCGACAAAAATAAAAGCATAGTAATCGGGATGAATGCTTGGAATGGTGTTATTGATTTTTTTGCATGCATAATAACTGCAAGAAGATGCTTGTAGGATCAAAAACATGTGAAAGGTAGTCTATTTTTTTGTCTATACGGGAAATGTAATGGTGAGATTATGAGGAGTCTCAGAGAAAGAGGAGGGTGAGAATAAGTAGGATGGAAAACAAAAGGAGAAATAGAATGGTGAGATTAATTGAAGATAATTCAGCCAAATGTTTGTAAAATTTTTATTTAGTATTCAATTTACTGCCTAAGCGAATATATAATTTTATATTTAGGCTGCTGAATAGAAAATAATTGGGGAAAAATAACAACTCAACAAAATCGACTTATTAGAAGTTTCCTGTGAAAATTGAAATAGATACGTTCGCTGACCTTTCATAAACTTATCTTTTCTTCCGTTTATCCTTTTCTTTTGGTGGGTGTGATGGTGTAGGTGTTTTTTCATTCAGGGTTAACTTAAAGATGGCAAAATCCAACAAGCAACAGCAGAAATCTGATTCTCGAAAGCATGGGGTTTCCTTTCGGTGTACAAGGCCTTGTGAAGATGCCCACCATGGTAAAAGATGTTTAAAAGCATTGGAGAAGAAAGACTGGGAAGATGCGGTTTGCTCGGTGTGCATGGAGTTTCCTCACAATGCAGTACTATTGCTTTGTTCCTCTTATGACAAGGGTTGCCATCCTTATATGTGCGCTACTAGTCATCGGTATTCCAATTGTCTTGAACAGTATCGAAAGGCCTACACTAGGGCTGCTCCAACCCAGAGTGCACAGTCATGGCAGTGGTCAACAGACTATCCAGATTTATCGGCAACATCAGATTGGCCTGATAGAAAGGTGGAAACATCTGAGCTCTTGTGCCCACTTTGCCGTGGGCAGGTGAAAGGTTGGACAGTGGTGGAATCTGCTCGAAAGTTCCTTAATGCAAAGAAGCGAAGTTGCATGCAGAATAATTGCTCATTCGTTGGAACCTATAAAGAGCTTAGGAAGCATGTGAAGTTGGAGCATCCTCTGGCATGCCCTCGAGAAATGGATCCTTCACACATGGAAAAATGGAAAAAACTTGAAAATGAGCAAGATATAAGTGATGTGTTTAGCACAATTAGATCTACCATGCCGGGTGCTATAGTAGTAGGGGATTATGTTATAGAGAATAACTATCGTGGCTTTTCTCAGGGTTATGATGTTGATGATTATTTCGACGATGCACTTTTCAGGATGGGTTCATATGGTGGACATTGGAATAGCCCTCAATTCTCTTCTGATTTTTTCCAGGATGATAATGATTCATTGGATGAGGAAGATTTTGGCATGCAGCAAGCGGGTGCATCTGTTTCGTCTAGACGTATTGGAAATAATGTCTCCCGGTTGGCGCAGCCCCGTGCAAGATTGTTGGTTGGAAGGCGGCCTCACCGGCTTAGACTAGGCAGGTAACAGCATTGGTGCGTTCATGTCTCTGATAAGTAGGTTTACATTTGATTTAAAATATCACCTACGTCAGATGTTTGGGCTATGCATCATCTTGTTGAACAGATTATTGAAGATCCTTAATTATCTTTTGTCTCTGATAAGAAGGTTTACATTTGAGTTACAATATCCCCAACATCAGAGGTTTGTACTATGCCTCGTCTTGTTGAACAGATTATTCAAGATTCTTAATTATCTTTTTTTTCTAGGTGCCAAATCTAGGATGAGTAGTTTATTGGCTGCTCATCCATGATTGGATTTGGATGAATAGGCTCTTATCGTTATCTAGTTGTACCTGTACTAATTTCTAGGCTACGACAACATTTTAATTTTGTTATTATTAATTTTTTTTTAAATATATGTACTAATTTAGAACTTGTCGTTTTTAACATATACAAAATACATGTAAAATTTGTCCCTCAATGTTTTTGGCCCCCGATGTTAGGATCTTGCTTCCGCCTAGGTTTGGGCGTCAGGAGAGTCGACTCGAATTTTTCAATATCTGAGACCGAAATCACTTATTATAATTAGTTGGTTTCACATAATTATTGGAACCAAATTCAAATTTGAATAGTTAGCGTTGGTTGAGATTTGGTTTTGTCCATAATATATATTTTTATTTTATTTTGTGAAATTAACAAATTAAGGAAGAAAAAAATTGAACAAAATGACCTCAAATTTTTGTACAACTACAGAATATGGGCTGTATTTAATTTGTTTGGTTTTTGGGAAATTTACATGACAACAGGTCTTTAAGAAATACAATTCATAAATCAAGTATGAAATTTATTTGTACAAATATCAGGTATTAATTTAACTATAAAACCACCCACACCTAATTTCTCCACTTCCCAAACCCTAATTATTACTTCTCACTATTCTCTTTCTATATCCCACTCCGTTCTTTCTTTACTGTAGCAGACAATAACACACCGGAGACGACGTCGCGCTGGCAGCAATGCAACGTGACACCAGCATTCGGCGATCGCCTCCATTCCTTCGGCGCTCTTGTGCCTTCAATTGTAGCACGCCCATCGGAAGACAAGGCAACACTACTAGAAGACGACACTAAGTGGCATTGAGATATCGTTGCACACTCTGTCGTTCGTAGTAGCGTCGAACGACAGTGTTGAAGTTGCTGCGAACTCATGAGATCGTTGCCCGAAACGCTGTAGAAATTTTAGGAAGGGGTTTGGGGATTTTTGGACCGTTGAGTACAATTTTGGAGGTGATTTCATCCTCCTCTTCGATCTAATCTGCTTAGCGAAGTGGAGAAATTTAGTGTGATTTTGATGTTGTGTTCGTGGTGTAGTATTGTTGGTATGTTGAAGGAGAACATGTAGCAGCTGGTGGCTAGCTTAGCTTGGTGCGATGGTTAGTGGGTAGCTTGGTGGTTTTTGTGTGGTGGTGGTGCTGTTGGCGGTGGCTGTGATGGTGTGTGTAGGGTGAACACTATTTGTGACCACGTATTGTGGTGGAATGGGATTGAGATATGGTTTGGTGATGCATTAGTGTGGTGCAAACGACGATTGGGTGGTGGTGATTTGTGATTAAGATTGGTGCTAGATCGGGATGTATGGTAGGGTGTTTGGAATTTGTGACCAACTTTTTGGAATTTGTGACGGTGGTGGTAGATTGGTAGTGTCGATGGTGAGATACTGGCTAACCACGAGGACGGGGTGAGTGTGGTGGAAAGTGGCGATATTGGCAAGAAATATGACCTAGTATTTGATCTGTGACCAACTTGAATTTAAAATTTGATAATTGTGACCAAAATAATTTGTGATTGATAAACTGTGACATATGTGACCTTGTAATTTGAATGATTTGTGACCTTGAAACAATATGTGACCTGCAAAATTTTTGATTTAGACTACGAAATAATCATGTGACCAATTAGTTTGTCAATATGTAACCTATAATTATGAATATGTGATCATTAATCGTGTAACTGTGACTTTATTATCTATATTTAATAAATATTTTTAATTAATTAAATATGTACCTGATTTTTGAATTTTAAAAGTATCTATTTGATTTTTGAATTGAGTTAAACTTAACGTCTGAAATGTGAACTCTTCCCTTGATTTTTTATATATAGATTGGTGGGCTGAGCAATTCTTTCATCATTTTTTTTTATCCAACCTTTAAAAGTTGATTATAAGTAAAATGCTGGCCATATGCAATCATGAGAACGAGAGGATGACAGAAAGAGAAGAATAGCAAAGAAGTAGAATTCCAATACATAAGGTCTGCGATTCATCTTATAAAGAATTATAGGGTCAGTCTGATTGCAAAAATGAAATTTGGGTGAAAATAAAACGAATTCTAAGGAATTGAATTACTTAGAACTTGTTTTAATTGGAATTGTCAATAAATGTGTTTGATTTGTATAGTTTTTCACCTGCAAATGTTGAATCTTTTAGTATTCGTTTGACTTTGTTTTTTTATGAAAATTGTCAATTAAAAGGATGAATTTTTTTTACAATTGTGGATACAATTTGATTTTATTGTTGAAAATTAAAAAAAAAAAAAGGCTAGAAAAGCATTTTCCCATCAAAACCTAAAGAAAATCAATTCCTTAAAATCATGGAAAATCCAGTCACGATAACAAATTCCATGGAAAAAAATTGGTATGAACCCGAGTCGGATAAAAAATCCAGTATTCCTCCATCATTCGGAAAGGATAAGAAAACAAGAAACCAAACCCTTCTCTACTTATTTTCTTACACAATTTCTCCTATTTTCCCAATCTTTCAACGGTAAATTCAAGCCATGGCAGCATCGATATTAACACCAGTACTCCCTTCAGCGTCTCTCATTTCCAATCCCCTTTCCACTTCTCTCAAAAACTCCATCTCTTTACCTCTTCCCACCTCCCTCCCCAAGGTAAAACCCAGAAAATTCCCTATTAGAGTCCACATTTTTTCCGCTTTTGTACAATTACAGAATATGGGCTGTATTTAATTTGTTTGGTTTTTTAAGTATAGATTGGTGGGCTGAGCAATTCTTTCGTTTTATTTTTTTTTTTTTTTTTTTTTTTTTTTTTTTTTTTTTTTTTGTACAATTACCGAACACGGGTTGTGTTTAATTAGTTATGTTATTCACTTTTAATGTGTTTAGATTGGTGGGCTGAGCATAAAGTGCGTGCGTGTGGGTGGAGTGGAGATTCCCAACAACAAGAGGGTAGAGTATTCGCTGCAGTACATTCATGGGGTTGGGCGCACTCGAGCCAAGCAAATTCTGTGTGATCTGAGCATGGAGAACAAGATTACCAAGGACTTGTCTGAAGAGGAACTGACTACTCTCCGTGAGGAAGTCTCCAACTACATGATTGAAGGAGACCTCGTAAATATTCTGATATCTTTACCTAATCATCTCTGTTTTGCTGCTTATTGATTTTCTATGGGTGCTTGAATTTACAAGTTATATTTGTTTTGGGTTGTTTCGTTTTGTCAAATTGTGTGATTATGTTGTGTTTGATACTCTTGGTTGTGCTCAGCAACTTGGAATTGGTTGTTGGAACTGGAATGCGGATTAAATTTGAAACAATTTTGAGCAAATTTCAAGTCCCAGGGACCAATTCCATTCTTCCTCTAGACTGAGGCTTAAGTACATTATCTATGTGATGCTAAAGCAATTTTCTTTATGTTGTCTGAGAGAGTTTCAAGTGCTGAACTATGCCATGCTTTGCTCTGGGATGATGAAACTCACTTTTGCACTGTCGATTTCAGTAGTTGTACCCCTCGTCAAACATGCTTTTAGGTTCATTTTTTTGTTCACAATTTTTATAAATCGGTGGCTACGAGTCTTGAACCTAAATTGTTTATTCACCAGGTTGAACCTCCTCGTCCAAAAGACTTGTCTTTAACATCATTGGGCTTTATTTTCTTTTTGTTGTACTTATACAAATATGTTCCAGGCTTTACTCTTGGTGGAATGTAGGGTTTTAAATCTTAATGTATATGCTTTAACGAATGTGGATATTTTAATTGCATGCGAGTCCCCTGTCCGAATGACTCGTTTTGATGGCATTTACAGAGGAGGTTCAATGCACTTGCCATTAGAAGGTTGAAGGAGATACAATGCTACAGAGGTGTTAGACATATTCAGGGATTACCATGCAGAGGACAGAGGACTAAGAACAATTGTAGGACCTTGAAGGGAAAGAGGGTTGCGATTCCCGGGAAGAAGAAGCGTTAGATGTAGGCCATGCTTTGCTTTCTTTTCGAAAAATTACTTGGTAATTGTCACATTATGCCTGAGATCTTGTATTCTCTTTACATACGACTACTACAATGTGATTTTCTGCTTTAAAAAAATTACATTTGCCGTTGCTTTTGGCGAACTGAACATTGTAGTGTTTTCTTGCGTTGGAAAGATCCATGAGCATCTCCTGTTGAATGGTGTTCCATTGGATTTTGGCAACTGGAAAACTTGCTTTCAACTTTTTGTGATTGGTGGTTGTTCATATGTATCTTACTTTGTTCTGTATCAAAACTTCATAATGGAAGATAATGCCGTATAAGATAATTGACAACGGAATGGTTTGATTGTCTATTGTGTTATATTTCATTAAAACACATAAAAACACAACATTAAACGCACAACATTAGCAAAACCTATGTTTTCATATCGTCCCAGATTTCTAAACACCACTTCAAGTTCTAACCCTAACCCTAGGAAGAATATGAAAACACAAGTAGGCTACGCACCTTACAGTGTAAAGTTCCAACTCAGAGATAATCTAAAGCCCTAATCATAATTACGTAACCTAACTTAACACAAGATACAAGCCAAGCCAGACGTTCATTTTGCTGCGATGCATCTTCCAAGAACCACTGGATGGCTCATAGAACTGGACCCATTTCGAGGTGGGCTCAGAATCACCGGTAGGAACTCCAATCGATCGCAAGCGAAAATGGAGGTCTCAAATCTTCTAATCAAATTCTCCCTCCCCTTTTATAAAAAGATTAAAAATTAATATTTAAAGATAAATATTTCTATAACAATATAGATAAAACAATTATTATTATTTTTTAATATGTACCTGGATCCGAGCCCAAGTAAGTTCACAGATTTTCTTGGATGATTCTCTGGTCCCAACCACACCCCAGTTGTAGTTTTGAAGGATTTTCTTGATCCTTAGAGCAGCTGCTGGAGTAGTGAAGTTAACGAAAGCATATCCCAAATTATTCTTTGTCCTGTAGAATAATAATCAAATCAAAATATTTGTTTCATATTTTATTCATAATTTCTTTCACTAGTAAATAAATTTAATTACCTAAAGTCCATTGGCAAGTACAAGAAATCATACTCCAAAGAGTAGTCTCGGCAGCACCAGTCAAGAAAATCCATTAAATCATCTCTCCTGATAATTTTTACACCAAAAGTGTTGAAAAATGTCATTTACAGTATATATACTCTTTGAAAAATTTTCTAAGGAATCTCACATTCACATTAAATGTTATCATGCGCCTTCAATGCAGAAAATAAGTGATAAAAATTTCAGTCCTAAAGACAAAATTATCAAAGTTGCAGAGTTCAAAAAAAGCAGATGGGATTTTTAGTGTTTAACATTGAAAGAAGAATCATCGGAACGTAACTTAAAGAGTATTAAACACTTGTAAGCAAATAATTTAATGAAGATAAAGAATAGGAGCACCTCATCTGATTTGGAATGTTCTTAATCATGATAGTAGTTTTCTCAGAGGGAAAGAAATCCAGAGGAGAAGTGGGTGAAGATACCGGCTCCTTGGGCCTCCACTCTAGTCTACTGCTGTCAATCTTCACCGGCCGAAACGTTTTTGTCCTCCTTTTTACTCCAGTAGTACAATTACTGTTTGAACTTCTCACAACCCTTGGACTTCCAACATTCTTGAAATCATTTTCGTCCTTTTTCATTTCAACAAAGGAACCGCCGTTTTCGCCGTAGAAATGCACATCCGGCAGAAATGGGATGAAACGAGAGGGTTGATGAAAAGGCTGAGGCTGGGAGTTTGCATCGTACACAATGACGCACTGGTAGCTCGACATCGCAGCTGGTAATGGTAGGTGATAAAAAGGAAGCTGCCCAGAGTAGGTTAGCACCGGCTGCGCCGCCTCTTGCGGAGGCGGAAGGAGTGACAGTGGACACGATGATTGTTGGGAATGATGAAATAGCGTACGTTTCCGGGATTTTGAGGGTTTCCATTCCTTGGCAAAGGGATTCAGTGTTTTAGGGTCGAACGGAGAAGCCATGGAGCTCAAGAACTAGGCAAAACGAGTATCATATAGCTATAAATACAAGACAAAATTTGAACGTGATATAAGTAAATCCAAACAAGTACTTAGCTTTCATTAAATGAGATGTCCAAATCGTGAAAGCTTTGGCGGCGGAAATATGCTGCAGCTTTTCTGGGTACAAACTGAGGTTTTGGCTAATTGGCTATGGCTATGCTAAGCTTACCTCCAGTAAAATTTCATCAGCATTCTACTAATCATTCACATTAAATGGAGTTATTGAGGGATACCATATAAAAACTTCAATAATACATATGAAGTGAAAAAAAAAAAAAAAATTTAAAGTAAATTAATTAGCATGAAGTTTGCATAATTTTTACCAGAAGGCAATGAAGAAAAAAACTCAAAATTTTATTGTTCAACATGAATTTACACTAATTCAATTCAATAATACGTATTGACCATGGGATTTTGATTACAACCTCCTCACTAGGGTGTGGGGCATGTAGGGATGTAAACGAGCCGGG